GGTTTAAAAAGATGACATTTTGAGTGTTAGGCCTTTGTCAGAGCAATTGGGCTGACAAACAAATTGTCAGCTTTTAAACTTGTCACAGTAGCAAATTTACATTATCAATTAACTCAGCTGATAATATGAAATTACTTTGATATAATTATATAATGTTGTGGTTAATACCACTTATAACCTTGGGCCACCTGTTAGTGCCCTTATTTGTGACTGTCATTGTCTTTCATAACTGATATATAGTACAGTTGTTCTGCTGCTTCCCTTTTCAGACTTTCTGACTTTATCCCTGATTCAAGGGTTATTTTCTTGAACCCAGGAAACTCTATACAAGGTAGGAGGACTAACACTGCTCTTTTTTTTTCTCATTTTTGAAAATTGCCTTTGTTTTGTCAATCTGTATTAACCATTTAATTGTCATGAGTGACCAAGAAAGAATTTTCCCTTACAATATCAACACAATATCAACCAGATAAGTGATGAGAGTACAGAAAAATATAAATTTGGGGATAATTAGTTGATTCAATACTAAATTCTCTGAACTAACATTATAAGAATTGTATGGTTGGGAGTAAGGAGAATTACAAATTTGATGTGGGAGTTAAAGGGTTAATAATTTATTTGCTGGGAATAATTGTGTCCTGTTTCCATATGTTTCTGCATGCATCACGATTTGAAACCATTCTCGGTCTCAATTGGCTATCGGGATTTTTTTTTTCAAATGGATTTGATCAACATAACACAATGTCAATTCATGTTTGACAGGTCATCCTGGTAAAGTCAGTTTCATGGCTACGGCTCCATCGCCATTTGCGTCTACGAAAGAGACTACAAACTATGCAAGGCTATGCCGCCTCCTGGTGGACGTTGGATCTCAAGTGCTCCGGTCCACTTTTGACAAAATACATCCACCAGCGACTCTACATAAAGTTTTGGGAAGTACCTCAGTGCATTACGCCACTTTGCAATCACTGTACAGAGGGAAGAAGAAAGTGCTGAATCCCACGCAATGGGGAAAGTTGTACCCTACTCACTCACCCGTGTCTTCTGCAGCCTTCGATATCACACTTCTGACAGTGCTTCTTAGAAATATCTGTAGTTTGGGCTCTCCTGCCAACGGATGGGATCGTCTTCCCCTAGCTACAGATAAAAGCATCGCAGATGATATCGCTAGAGTAAAATATTACAGAAACACTGTATACGGACATGCATCTCAAGCCTTTGTGGATGACGTTAGTTTCAGTGCTTACTGGCAGGAGATACGAGAAGCTTTGGTGAGACTGGGAGGAGCTCATTTTAGAGCTGAAATCGACAATCTTGAGCACGACTGCATGGATCCAGATATCGAGGAGCATTACCGTGAACTGATGAAACAATGGAAGAAAGACGACGACAGCATCAAAGACAAGCTTGAAGAAATTGAAGGTCAGAAAAACATTGTCCACTGCCAATGTGGATGAATCTGAAGGCTACAAAAGTATATATTTTCAGTTAACACGGCAGTGTAGGCTAGCTCATGATGTTTTAGTTTTGGTCGGCATTAGTTTCATATTTGGAAGGTATTTTTACGTTGTGAGTAATTTAAAGAACTAACCCTAATGTTGACACTATGTTTTCATTTGCAGTATTTTTGTCTGTTCGTGGGTACTCGTGTACAACTGCTGGAGTGCATTTTTGTGTTTTCTAAGCGTCTTATTGAGTTTGATCTATTCGATTCGGAATCGGATAGATATTGATATACGTATCATTGTTTTATCTGCACCTACCATGAAGCTGTGATATAAATTTGCTTATGAAAATGCGCATACCTTTTGAAATTTTCAGATTCGCTGGAAAACATGAGAAGCGTCATAGAAAGAAACTTCAGAGACACAACTGACAAGATAGAGATTGAAATGAAAGAGGTGAAAGAAAAGCTGAGTAGTCTGACGGCCTCAGCTGAAAAAAGCACACAAGAAGGTTGGTAGAAAGAGCTACTCACCAAGAAAAAATTATTAAGAGCGACACTGTTTTCTTTTTTCCATAACGCAGCTCATGTGCATGACGACGGTAATCGCTGGATGTCGGCCAACACAGCATACTTTGGTTCTTTACTAGTCTAAGAACACACCCTACATGAAGATTCTATGTAATCTGTGGGATGCCACGGAATCTGAGATTTTCCGCCCTGGCTTCCTCTCGGATTTGATAGTGTTTTGATAGCACTCATACATGTGTATAATCGTAGGCGAGATAGGTTATCGTCTTATTTTAGTATTACCTTTCTTATAATGAACCTAACTTCCTAGTAGCGTTAGATGTGACCCGCATATTTTGGAATGAAATAACTAAATCCTTCCTCCTGGCGTATCGGAGTATTCAATTCTACATGGGAAAATAGTTAAATGAGGATCGTCTTGAGTAAAATAGGTTAGAATAAGATGTATGTGGTTATTTTACATTTCCTGAGGAAAAGACTGTTGGCAAAACCTCCCACTTCATCGCAGGCGAGCCTCCAGTTTTCTGCAGCATTTTTGATGAAACCGCGTGACAAAGAAGGCAGAAAGACGTTGTTTGGTTTTCATTTATTAGTTCGTAGTATTCGCATATTTAAATTCAGTGCCGAATGACAGGGACTTACCACAATTTTCAACGCTGCATTCATTAGATTTCTTACTTATTTTTCTACTGCTAGGTATTTTTGATCCAACTGAGCTTATCAATGGAATTCGCCAGCTGTACAAGACTCGCGAGGGATGGCTTTCACCATTTCCATGGTGTGAAGAGTTTCAGTTTTTTCTTGGAAATATTTTTACAAGGCTCAAAGTGGTCAGAAGAAAGAAAACGAGAGGAGAAATCACTGACGTATTTGTTGACATGTCGTCAATACTCGATCCGTATGAAGAGTGTTCAGCGCCGAGAACAGTGTTGATTGAAGGAGAACCTGGTATGGGAAAAACCACCTATTGTAAAAAGTACGCCTTCGACTGGGCCACAAAACAACAAGAACCTCAGGGCTGCGGCTCAACAGCATTTAAAGTGGTATTGTTGCTGAAATGTCGAGATATCCACTCTGACGTTTGGGAAGCCATTGATGATCAACTGCTGCCCCCAGGCATCGATGAAAAAGTTAAACAACAGTATTTTCAGTTTATTCGTGAAAATCAGTCCAGCATTTTATTGATATTGGATGGATTGGATGAGTTACCATCCGGCAAATTGTCGATGTTTTCCAAATTAATTGAAGGAAAAGTACTCCCCAGATGCCACATAGTTGCAACAGCAAGACACGAAGCTGGAAAAGAGGTGAGAAAATGTTGTGACACGCTACTTCAGATCGAAGGATTCACTGAAAAGCATGTGATAGAATTTGTCACCAATTACTTTAAAGAAAGGACGGATTTAGCCACCAAGCTCTCGCAACGGATGTCGCGAGATAAAAACCTGAGAGAAATAGCGGCCAATCCTCTAAACACAGCACTTCTTTGCCTTTTATGCGAAGAGTTTGAGGGCACACTCCCCGAAAGCAGAGCTCAACTGTACTTGGATATGGTTGAATGTGTTTTGAGAAGATATAGAAAAAGGAAGGGAGTACTAGAAACGCTCGAAGACTTGACAAATTATTACAAACCGCAATTGAATCACCTTGGAAAGGTAGCGTTGAATGGTTTACTTGACGATAAGCTGGATTTTAATGAAAGTGAATTGAGAAACCATGCAAAAGACCTGACTGAATTTGGATTTCTGTCAGTGCAGCCTGGTGGCAGCAAACTGAGACAAACACTGCATTATGCCTTCTTACATAAAAGTTTTCAAGAATTCTTTGCAGCATTCTTTATTTGTTCTCAGATTCAAAGCAAGGAAATGAAACCTGAAGAACTAGTTTCCGATCCAAGGTATTTCGTTGAACTTAAACAAATACTTTTGTTTTCATGTGGAATTTTGGCCATGAAATGCGATGAACAAGTTGGGGTTCTTGTAAAGAGTTTAACAAATGAAGTCAACAAAAATAAAGGCCGTGGTGCAAAAATTGTATTGGAGGCCATCAACGAATGTAAAAGAGAAAAAAGCGATTTTCACTCGCATTTATCGAAGTCGTTTGGAACTGGTTTGAATCTAACCAATTTGAAATTGCGATGGAACGATATAAGTGATGCGGGTGCTACATGTATTGCTGAGGCAATGAAAGTGAACAAGACGCTAACCGATTTGGATTTGTCAGTTAATGGTATTAGTGCTGCGGGTGCTACATGTATTGCTGAGGCAATGAAAGTGAACAAGACGCTGACCAATTTGGATTTGTCTGGGAGTGGTATTAGTGATGCGGGTGCTACATGTATTGCTGAGGCAATGAAAGTGAACAAGACGCTAACAAATTTGTATTTGTCTTACAATGGTATTAGTGATGCGGGTGCTACATGTATTGCTGAGGCAATCAAAGTGAACAAGACGCTAACCGATTTGGATTTGTGTAAGAATGGTATTAGTGCTGCGGGTGCTACATGTATTGCTGAGGCAATCAAAGTGAACAAGACGCTAACCAATTTGGATTTGTCTGGGAGTGGTATTAGTGATGCGGGTGCTACATGTATTGCTGAGGCAATGAAAGTGAACAAGACGCTAACAAATTTGTATTTGTCTTACAATGGTATTAGTGATGCAGGTGCTACATGTATTGCTGAGGCAATGAAAGTGAACAAGACGCTAACCGATTTGGATTTGTCAGTTAATGGTATTAGTGATGCGGGTGCTACATGTATTGCTGAGGCAATGAAAGTGAACAAGACGCTAACCAATTTGAATTTGTCTTACAATGCTATTAGTGATGCGGGTACTACATGTATTGCTGAGGCAATCAAAGTGAACAAGATGCTAACCGATTTGGATTTTTTGTGGGAGTGGTATTAGTGATGCGGGTGCTAGATGTATTGCTGAGGCAATGAAAGTGAAAAAGACGCTAACCAATTGATGTACAAGGCATCTGTGAAAGGAGCCGGGAGAATTTGTCAACGGTGCTTTCCAGCATGTGTGCTTTTGATGATCCTGAGGCGAAAGCTATCGTAAATGAGATTGTGGAGGATGTGGCCCTGAAGAAAGGAGTTAAAAGGACGGTGGAAGAGCTTGTTGGTGATGAAACGTTTTCTTTATAGGTGGAAAGCCTCCGAGTTCCAGATTGGGTGTTACTATATTTCAAGACCAAGGCAAGGATATCTGGTAATACTTGGCAAGCCGTAATGAATATCACCAAACTTGGAAACAGGGGTAAGGTTTATTCTTAGGAATCAATGTTACAAGGCTAAATGTTTTGCCTACTTTATGGCGACCGCTATCACAAATCAATAACCAGCCTAAAGGGAAGTTCCTAACAGTCACATTCGCTCTTTTCAAAAAGCCTTTTTTTTTTGACAAATTGCCATTATTTGCTTGAAGTTTAGTCGCTCATGAAAATTTCCGTTTTTAAGATACAGTAGGATCGGTGGTAAAAAGGCTTTAAAAGTTTTAGAATTTTGGCTTCTCTGCCTCTAAGATGTAGAAAGACCATTGACACCGAAAACTGCCCTGAAGAGTTTTTGAGACTGAGAAATTGTTGCCAGCTTAGCACAACTTTAGGATGGCGTCAATCATTAATTTCAAGGGTGGAGGGGCAGCATTGCATAGTGTTGATCTCTCAGAAGGGCTCCTTCTTTTGTAAAGGACATGTCTGCACTCAGATTTATCCCAACTTGGAAGCAGTGCTATAGTAACAAATTAAATGCTTGAAAGTGATTCAAGAAGTGAAAGTCTTATTATTATTTATTATTACAATGATAATGGCTGATTTTTTAACCCTCAGTTATCAATGTGTTTTCCATGTTAATTTTGTTGTTTTTAATTTTTGTTTTGCTTTCTTTCTTTGGTATCCATTTTAGAAATCCTCTGACACACCAATATTGTTAAATCTTAATCAAATGAAGGCTGCCAAAAAAGTGATCTTTGGAGTTTGTAAAGAATACATGGATGTGAAAAAGGTGCCAACTCCTTTACAAGGTTATCAGGTGGATTTGTATCCTGTTTTGGAGCTGATTGTTCGTGAGCAAAGGCTGCATAAGGTGTGCTCACCAACTCTCAAACTTCTGATCAAGATAGATGGAAGACCCTTTTGTGTTAAATACAGACTGTCGGGTTTAAGTATGCTGTTATAAATTATAGAACAATACCTTATCTCAGAGTAAATGTGTAGCTGTGTATAATTTTGGTCCCATGAATGTGAATGAAATAGTAACTGTTTCTATTATTATTTTTTTTATGATCAGATAGAAATCAGGTGTTGGTAGGTCTGGTTGCCCGTCTTAATCCTGTATACAGCATACAGAGTGCAAAGTCTGTTTACCCACTGGCCATTGCCAATTGTAAAGAAAACAGGTTCATCATCAATTTCTATTCTATGTTACCAAAATACTTTTTCTCCTTTGCTTGGCATGGTTATGAACTGTTTACCACCCACAGTATAGACACTTTTCCATTTAAGCTTTCCTTACTGAAAGCCTGTAGTTTTGTAGACTATATATGACAGTTTTCATTGTTGTAATGTTGGCTTTCCAGTGGCTCCAAGATCTGACAAATGTAACACCCACACACACAACCAAAAAATACCCACACATAATTAGACAGAAAGAAAAAAAAAACTACAAACCCTTTTGCAATATAAGAACCTTACCCCAACACAAGATCAATAAATAATAAGTTTCATTGATTGTCTTTATGCCTTATGTTATTTTGATAGGGAAAGCCTGAAGGTACTTCTAAAGGATGTGAATGAACAAAAGAGAATTATCAAGAACAAAGGAATTTTTGTTGATGGCATCAAGTTCAATCTAGAATTTGATGGTAAGATGTTTCTGCCAGTTTATCGCATAAAGGTTGTTTGCAAGAACAACCCTGATCTTTTAAGGGAGGGGGGGATGCTGACTTTCTTTTTTTGAAACTTGAGGGTTTTTTTTCCATTATCAGTGTAAGTGACCAATATTTTAAACAATAAGTTATTTTTCTACATGTATGTCATCATAATTCTTTATTATTGTTGTTTTTTGTCATATCTTAGTTTCATTGGACTACAAAACACTGATCCTTCTTTTGGTAAAGAAAGGGGATCTTGATTTTCAACTTGGTGGTCGAGGGGTAAATGTGGAATTTTGCTTTATCAAGGCTGTGCTCTAGGAAAATTTTCAGGGCGCCCTTTGGGCACCTAACCATGACAAGTAGGTCGCCCAGCCTTCCAGGTTGGTCGCCCAAATTGATTAATTAATAATTAATTGATTGATTAATTAATTAATAATCCATTTTATAGTTGCCAAACAGTTTCATGTTCAATATTCACTTCACCGGGCACGGGCGGCGAAGCGAGTTACTATATTTAGCAGTCACGTACTCTATTTTGGCGAACTTGTGATATCATGAAATCCTGTTATAAATTAACCACATACATGTTAAAACCGCTAAGAAAATTTCTTTGAAGACCACTAAAATAGGTTTCGAAACAAAAGGATTCTTATATTAAAGTTTCGTTTTCGTCAAATTTTGATCGAATGATTACAATTTCGGGGAAGTCGCCAAATATGGTCCTGATAAACATCTTGCATGCCACGGACGAAGCTAATTAAATAAACACAAATTTGCATAAAGGACGGTTTCGTTTTATTAATCACGCGCTCCACTATTGAAACTGTTGAAACACAAAAATTAAATATAAGCATCAGCCACTTCAATAGAAAAATTAGATCTTCAACACATGCTTGTGCAAAAATCGTACAGTTTCTCACGGGCAAGGAAAAAATAATTTTTCGTGCTAAATCATGTGAAACAATATTACATAACACACGCGACAACTTTGAGCGTGAACAATTCTTGTTGTTGTCCTGCCGAATATTTTTTAGTTCTGCAAATGTCATCAAATTAGCAAGTAAAATTATAAAATGTTAGTTACAATCAGTTGCTCGCTTTATCGCGTCGTTCAATGGACAAGAAACCTGGGCCATGTACTATATTAATAAACCGGAAGAGAAACCACCGAAGCGAAACAAGACCCATGACCTAACTTAATATTTAACCTAAATGTACAGATCACACAGGCGATTGATTGCACTGTGCTTTCAGCGCTTTTGCTTTTCGGGCTAACGGGAGCCGGGGAGCATGATGGAGTTTCTTTTTGTTTCGTTCCGTTCCGTTTCTATACGTTTGCTGGTTTCGTTTCGGGTTTTCACACAAGTCGAAATCAATGCGCCCGGACGGGCGACCGCTTTTCTTTTTCAGTCGCCCGAGACCAAATGTTAGTCGCTTGAGGCGACCGGGCGCCGCTAGAGCACAGCCTTGTTTATATGCAATGCAATCAGGGTTAGTATTTGTGTTGGTGTACATGTGGATGTATAAGCATTTTTTTAGTTGTTGAAGTTCATCAGTTGCAATACACAAGCTGCAGTCTTCACTAACAATGCAACGACAAAATTTTGTAAGATAATATTAATTTAATTTGAGATAATTCCATTCCCCATTAGGGTTGCAAATGTCATGATGTAGCCCCAGATGAAACCTGCCTGGAATGCCTACGAAGCAAGTGTAACATAGGAAGGTATATTTTTAGTTTAGCCTTTCATGATCATTACTTAATGAACAGGCTTACTTAGGAAGTGCTTGTGGCCTTTTGGGTATCAGAGTTGATGCATTGGTGAGAGCAGCCACCTTCCACCAATCTGGATCTGTTCCTAGACAAAGCACAGTATGATTTGTTGGCTCTCTAATCTCCTCTGAGAGGTTTTTTATCCAGGCACTCTAGTTTTCCCCTTTAATGGAAAACCAACATTTGACTTCATTGATTTTGGGTTGTCTCTTTTTGTTTAATTATTAGTCAAGAGCACTTGTGCTTGGCTAAATACCCTTGAGACTTAAATAAAGTCATCATTGTCATTTTTATTTAACATTGTTTCTTGAGTTTTAAGATTCATTGAGTTATTCCCATTTATTTATTGCCATGGTCTTCATGAGGCTATTAATTTTTTATTTATAAATACATTGTAAATGCATCATTGTTATTCATGTATTTGCAGATCAACTGGAATTCGGGATGATCTCCTTTTTCTCCTTGATGAAGAGCTTACTAGCATTCAGTTGTGTGCTCTCCATATGGAGATGCGCAATACAGGGCAGTTGCTTGCGTCCATTGGTCTGATTGCCTACAAGATTGGTTCACTTCCAGAAGCCAATCAAGCCCTGAAGTGCTTTGGCCCAGAGTCTTTTCATGGTGATAGAATTTCTGTTAAGAAGAAGAGTGGTCAGGAGTCTGCCATTTCAAAACAGAATATTCATGTGAGCTCTATGTCAGGTGCGTGAGTGGTTGAATTACTGGCTTTGTGTGTATTTTAAAATTGATTTGCTTTGTGGGTATCTATTATTTTTCTCATTGTGATAAACACATTTCAGGTCCAACAGAATTTGAAGTTCTTCAAAACCTTGAAGAGATTGTGGGACTCTCCCTTCCACTGGACAAGTTAAAGCTCTCCTACATGGATGTAAACACTGCCAAGAATTTCATTCTTAACCGTGTTACATTTTGTCAGTCCCGTATTGATGTAAGTCTTTGATAGCAGATGTGGCATTGGCAAGTACCTTCACTAGTGGTTCAACAGTTCAAGTTTATTGTTCTTTAAGTTTAGAGGTGTGGTTTATGTTGTGCAGCACCCAGATGTTTCGTCGGAGGGCGCTATCAAAATAGGCACCATTTGTAAGTACTTGCTTCCTTTTCAATTTCACACTATGCACTAGTTACCTTTCCTAGGAGATCCATGAACTTAGAGTTTCTTTCTTGCCAAAGGTCTTTCAAAGATCTTATTTAGTAGGCTGTACTTTAAGGTGGCACACCCAAAAGTGCAGTATAACCCAGCATTTTTGTATTTTTACACTCTTTCAATGATCTTATTTAGTAGGCTGTACTTTAAGGTGGCACAACCAAAAGTGCAGTATAACCCAGCATTTTTGTATTTTTACACTCTTTCAATGATCTTATTTAGTAGGCTGTACTTTAAGGTGGCACACCCAAAAGTGCAGTATATCCCAGCATTTTTGTATTTTTACACTCTTTCAATGATCTTATTTAGTAGGCTGGACTTTAAGGTGGCACACCCAAAAGTGCAGTATAACCCAGCATTTTTGTATTTTTACACTCTTTCAATGATCTTATTTATTAGGCTGTACTTTAAGGTGGCACACCCAAAAGTGCAGTATAACCCAGCATTTTTGTATTTTTACACTCTTTCAATGATCTTATTTAGTAGGCTAGTCTTTAAGGTGGTACACTCAAAAGTGCAGTATAACCTAGAGATTCTTCTTTTAGTTGCTTGTGTTTATATAAGAATTATTGTGCTGTAACAGGTTGTTTCGACACCCTTTTACCCTGTGTACAATTTCGTATGGATGTTGGCACATGCTCATAACAGCAATGTACAGTTGTTGTACAGTTAAAAAAGTGGTTGCTTGTTCTGTTTTTTGTATGTAGTATTTTGCTGATGCCTTGAGGAAGCACAAGTTTCTTCGAGACTTTGGAACTCACACTGAGATGATTGATTTAGAAGGCTCAGGTTTGTTTTTTAAACTTGTTTCCTGTGGCTCTATTTTGTATAGAATTTGGCTCTTTTGCTGGGGAGAAATCAATAGCCGTTAATGACTGTGCACGCATAAAACGGTACGACAACACAAACTTGAACACGCGTACTTGTAATTATGAAATGGACTTTACAATCTTGAACGAACGTTGTACGGTTTCGAAAACTAAAAGGAAACAAAGGAAATTTACAACTATAAATACGGAAAAAGGCTAGACAAACAAGAAACGAAACCAAAAAAAACTTACGTTTGTGTCCTTATAATATAAACGATGACGTTAAACGGGCGTTGAAACGATTCTCCACTTCGATCGAGCACATGTATTTTTTAACTCGCAGCGCCTCTCGGGATCTAGCTAATGAGTGCGTGACATCACGCATAACGGCAGTAACATTCCCGACCCCTTAAGCGATGCTTAACATGGAAAGTTCTTAGCTACAAAATAAAGTAGTAATTATGAAAAATAACTTGTCATGTCCTTTGCTAAAGCTAACGAGTCTAGTCCGTCACACAATCCGCTTAAAGAAATAGGGACTATGAATATTCCATGAAGGTTCAGCCCTTACGAGCTTCCTGTTTCATTGTTCATTATCGAGGCACGATTGTTCTTCCTTAGCTAGCAAGAGGACAACCTTGTCAACTGGTCTGCGTAGTTGGGAGGTTTGGGTCTTCAAATGAACCGTGCGTACCAACCCCTTCTTGTCTGATTCCGCGCTTATGACTCGTCCCATCGGCCAAACACTCCTCGGGCAGTTGTCGTCTTTCAACAGGACAACGTCTCCGACAGCTAGATTCCGTTTGGGACTGTTCCACTTCGAACGAGGTTGGAGAGTTGGGAGATATTCTCTCTTCCAACGCGTCCAAAATAAGTTTGCCAAGTACTGCACTCTCCGCCAGCGCCGCCTCATATAGACATCTGCGCGTTGAAAAACTCCCGCTGGGGGAAGTACAACGCTGGTTTTCATCGTCAGGAGATTGCTGGGACTTAGTGGGTTGAGGTCATCGGGATCACTCGAAGCGAATGTTAGCGGTCTCGAGTTAATGATAGCTTCAACTTCACATAGTAGAGTTCTAAAGGATTCGTCATCCAGACGGGAGCCATGCTCATGGAGTAGAACAGTGAGTACTTTGCGGGTAGTGCGAATCTGCCGCTCCCAAATGCCGCCCATGTGGCTGGCACTCGGTGGGTTGAAAATCCAATCTGTACCCTCTAGATGCAGCCTGCTTCTGATTTGCTCGTTGTTCATTTCGTAAACTGCTTGCTGTAACTCTGTCTTGGCGCCTACAAAATTTGTTCCGTTGTCGCTCCGGATCTCTCGGATAGGCCCACGACGAGCAATAAATCGCCTCAGAGCCTGGATAAATGAATCTGTTTCGAGAGAATTGGCGGTCTCAATATGCACTGCTCTACTTGCTAAACATGTGAAAAGGCATCCGTACCGTTTGAGTCCCTTTCGACCTTCTTTGATCATGTACGGACCGAAGTAATCCACGCCAGTATACGTAAATGGCGGGGCTGGAGTCACTCGGTCTTTAGGCAAGTCAGCCATTTTCTGTTCAGCGACAGGGGCACGATTACGGCGACAAGTAACACAATTTGCGATTAGGTGACGAACAGCAGCATTGGCACCGGTGACCCAGTACTTCTCCCTCAATTTAGCAAGTGTGTGACCGCGGCCTGCGTGTGCTAGGCGTTCGTGTAGGCGTTTGATAATCAAGTTCGTAACGTGACTCTTGCGAGGTAAGATGATGGGGTGTTTCGTTTCTTCTGGAAGATCGTCAGCGCGGCTAAGGCGGCCACCAACACGAAGGAGGCCTTCATGAATGTAGGGATCCAGCCGAGTTAGGGAACTTGCTTTCTTCAGCACCATTTTCTTTTGCTTTGCCCGACCCCGTTCGTCTCCACCGCCTTTGTCACTGACTTGTCTGAGAGCGTCAAACTCTCTACTGAAGGACTGCAACTGTACGAAGCGAAGGATGGCCATCTCGGCCTCTTCAAACTCTTGAACTGAGAGCGGTGCGCAGCAGTCACCCACTACCTTCGTTTCAGCTTGTAGTGACTTCACGCCCGACCTTGCCTGACCATGGTCCGAATCTATCTCGAGAGAACCCTGGCCTCTAATCTCCTTCCGTTTTCGCAATACAGCCTTGATTCTAAGGAATGCGGCCACCGACAATCTCAGGCGATACCAACTCGAGTGGTATTCTATTAGTTTGTTAACTGACGTAGCCGTGGCTTCCATTACCATGGTACCGGCGGAAGCAACTTTTCTGACCTCAGGGTCGTCATCTGGGACCTCACCGACTGGAAAGGGCTGCTGCGGCCAGTCCTTTTCTGATTTCCCTAGGAAGTGTGGACCATTTGACCAGCGTTGCTGCTGCAGAAGTCCAGCGGCGGAAAGTCCTCTTGAGGCATCATCTGCCGGATTGCTACTGGTGTCCACGTATTTCCACTGCATAGGACTAGTGAAGTCCCTGATCAATTGCACACGATTTGCCACGAATATCTGAAACCTCCTCCGCTCGTTTCTTATGTAGCGGAGAACCGTCGTCGAGTCGGTGTGATAGATGATAGACTCAGGCTTAACTTCAAGCTCTTCATACAGCATTTGTCCCACGCGAACAGATACGGTTGCTGCAGTTAATTCTAAGCGTGGGACTGTTACGGCCTTAATAGGTGCAAGACGAGCCTTCCCCATTAAAAAGGAACAATGTATGCGACCCATGTTATCCATTAGACGTAGGTAGGCAACGCATCCATACCCCACCTGGCTTGCATCGGAGAACAGATGGAGCTGTCTGGAGACAACTGGGCCAAAACCCGGCGGTTTGTGACACCGATCAATGTGAAATTGCTCTAGTAACGGAAGCTCTCCACACCATCTTAGCCATTTACTGCGGCAGTCTTCCGGAATGTCGTCATCCCAGTCGAGATCTTCATTGCGGCAGAGATCCTGTAACAGCTTCTTCGCTAGAAGTGTGAAAGGAGCGATGAAGCCCAGGGGATCAAAGATTGATGAGATGGTGGACATGACTCCTCGTCTTGTAAACGGTTTGCTGTTAATGACGATTCGAAATCCAAAACAATCTGATTGTACGCACCACTGTATCCCTAAGGCACGCTCGATAGGGAGGTTGTCACAGTCAAGAGTTATTGATCTGACTTCTTTCGATCGCTCATCCTCTGGTATAGACTCTAAAACTGCACGACTATTGGAAGTGAATTTGGTGAGGCGGAATCCACCTTTCTTACAGGATTGCCGAAGACCTTCAATCAGCTCGACTGCTTTACCTTCCGAGCTTACGGAACGTAGACAATCGTCCACATAAAAGTTATTTCGCAGCGTGTCAGCAACCAAGGTACCGTACTTATCTTCGTTATCCCTTGCGGTTCGCTTAAGGGCAAAGTTAGCGACACTTGGCGACGAGGCCGCTCCAAATAAATGTACAACCATCCGATACTCTTGTAGCTCGGCTTCTAGATTGCCATCTGGCCACCATAAGAAACGGAGGTAATCATACTGTTCAGGAGGAACTGTAACCTGGTGGAACATGGATTCCACATCTCCCATGAAGGCTACGGGGTCTTCACGAAATCTGGTTAGCACGCCTACTAGGGAGTTTGTCATATCTGGACCTTGCATCAGACAGTCATTGAGCGACACGCCCTGAAACTTTGAACTACAGTCAAATACGACGCGTATTTTTTCTGGTTTTTTCGGGTGATACACCCCATGATGGGGTAGATACCACACCTTGCCTGGGTTCGGTATCAGCAACTCATTTGGAACTCTTTGTGCATACCCTTTGGCGATGACATCGTTTACGAAGGAAACGTAATCAGAGCGGTATTTAGAATCTCTCAACATCTTTTTCTTCTGCCAGTTTGCTCTTTTGATTGCTTGCTCCTTATTGTTGGGCATGATAATATCGCTATGTCGCAATGGAAGAGGAACTTGGTAGTGGCCGTCGACAACTTTCGTCTCCCTTTCAACCATAGTTAAAAACTTTCTGTCTTCTTGAGAAGGCCCACGCTCGTCCGGTGCTTTGCCTACGGTGTGATCGTTGAAGTCCATCTGCAACATTCTGAGCAATGACGTTGGAGCAATGATTTCCTTCGGCGTTTCCACTTCTCTCACTGCAATTCGGTTCGCGATTATTTTGTCCTTGTCATGATCAGTTCGGATATGGAGAGGTCCACAGACTGTCCAACCATGGCGGAGACGGAGGGCAAATGGGCCATCGCTTCGACAAGGTACAACTTCTAATGGTTCTAAGGCAGGCGGGCAATTGCTGCCAATGAGTAGTCCAATCTCCAGGCGAGGCTCAAGCTCAGGGATTTTCTTCGCAACCTCGGAAAGGTGTGACCACTGATTTATGAGACTGGGCGTGGGAATTTGGTGATGTTCTGCTGGGATTTCATCTCTTGTGTATGAGCGAGGCAACTCAATGGGATTCTCATCATCTAGGCTCGTAACGATAAGATCGTCCAGAATGATGCTTTCCACTTGACTCTGTCCATGCATGGTGGTGAGTTGTAGCATAACCTTGACACCGTCTATTCCTAACTGTCTCCTGATATTTTCGGTTGCAAAACAGCCGCCACTACCATTATCGTAAAACGCGTACGTGACAACTGAATTGTTACAGCCCTTCTGTTTAACTTTAACTGGGAGTATGGCATGTAGCACTACGGACTCCTTGCAACTTGGTGCGTCCTGTACAGGTTTAGAGACATCAATGCGCCTATTGCTAACCGCTATAGATTGAACTTCCGTCGCTTGGGGTTTGTTACTGACGCTCTCTCTATTCATTGTGAAACCATCAATGTGCAATGTTGTTGGGTGCCGTTTCTTGCACTTCTTGCAGGTGCGTCTCTTTACACAACCTTTGGATACATGATCAGATTCGTAACAGGCAAAGCATAATTTTCTTTCGTAAAGAAATGTCTTCCTTTCATCCATGGTCCTTTTGAGGAATTCCGCACAATCATCCAGGTCATGGTTCTTGCTGCAGAAGGGGCACAACTTTTCCTTGCCACCAGCATTGTTTCGGTTCGCATGGTTTACAGCCTCTATGCCGGGAATGGTGATACCAGTGGCAAAACTGTTGCTTGTTTTAGTTGCTGACGAGGGCTTCTTCTTGCCATCTCTCCCACTGTTATCTCTGCGCCTTTCCTGGGTACTACTTAAAGCCTGCACGCCAAATACAGGGTCGTTCGCTGATTCGGCTGCTGACACCACAAAATCAGCGAGATCCTTAAAGCTCGCTATCCTTCCGTTCTCTTTCAATTTCGCAGCACGATCACGCCATCTTGACTGGAGATGCGAGGGAAGCTTTTTTGCAATGGTCTGCAGGTTCGTAGGATGATTTAACTCATTCATATGAGACACGCTCATCATAGCATTTTTACACTTAATCAAGAAAAGCGATAAACGCTTTAGTCCTGATGCGTCATCTGGCCGAACTGGGGACCATCCGAGAGCTTTGTTCACATAGGCCATTGAAACTTTAAAGGGATCCCCATATTCCTTCTCCAGTAACCTCCTCGCCTCCTTATATCCTTCAGAAGGGTCCATATGCAGACAGCCTCCAATAAGTTCTCGTGGTTCCCTTTCAAGATGTTGTTCCAGGTAGTATAAGCAATCTGCCGCCCTGAATGTTCTGGACTCTATCCTTGCCTTGAATGCCATGATAAAGGTTCCATATTCGATGGGGTCTCCTTTAAACTTGTGCACTTCAGGTTGAGGCAGAGTCATTGCTGCAGCCAGTTGCCGATGGGTTGCAATCATTTGCTCATTTTGCTGTCGCTGCATGGCCATCACTTCTTTGAAAGACCTTTCATGGGGTTCCAATCGATAGGGATCATCAGCTGCAGCGATAATTCCTTGTGGTACATCAGTGGTCCCGTTGTTAGCCGGAGGCGATATCTCGCCGGCTAGACTGTTTGAGTGAAACTCTGGGGCAGCAGGGTTGAGATGAGCGGCAGGTGTTGAAGCCATGAATTTAGGTTCACTTTGCTGGAGACAGGGAACAATACCATCCTTATTTTCTAGGTTACCATCATTTTCCAAATCGGCATAAACCCTTTCTCTGGCCTGGGCTTTCGCTATTTCAGTTTCCAGTTTCAAGGCTTCATCTGCTGCTCGTAGAGCTTGTTTGCGTTCTAGCATTTGTTTTTCAGCTTGTAATTCCGCTAGCTTAAGTTTCTCCTTTGCTCGTGCAGATGGCGTTGAGCTGGCTGAAGACTTCTTCGAACGGGTGCTAACACGGGACGATTTGGATGAAGCCGATTTTACTTCTGAGAGCAGTTCTTCTGTTAAGCGACGTTCTGCTACATTCATCCATTCCATAACCTGTTTCCTAAATTCCAAAAATGACTTCTCCTTACTTTCATAGCGATCAAGTTCCCTGTCTTGATCCTGTTCGGAGGTCAACTGGCAATAATAAAGGTCACGTGCTTCTTGATACTCCTTGAATAATGTGTTCAATACAATAACCTCTGATTTCACTAAATGAAGATTGTTCTCATCTTCCATTAAGTTTGTGAGAGCATTCCTTTGCTTTGTCACAGCAGTCGTTTTGGCAGTTTGATCGTTTTTCAGTCGCCTTAATTTCTCTTCTTGACCCTTTTCAGTTAATTTCCTTACACGAGTATCGGGACAGCTTTCGTTCGGAGGAAACCCAGGCCCAGCGCCCTCAGCGACAGGTTCATCGTTCATGGTGGACTAGGCACTAATTAATCCTTCGGTAGTCGCTTCAAATTAGCGATGAGTGGCGAACAGTTCGCCCAACATTGCAAATAAACGTAGGATAAGTTCCAATAAACCAGTATGCGATGAGGGTTAAACTTTTCGAAACGAAATGTGCACGCATAAAACGGTACGACAACACAAACTTGAACACGCGTACTTGTAATTATGAAATGGACTTTACAATCTTGAACGAACGTTGTACGGTTTCGAAAACTAAAAGGAAACAAAGGAAATTTACAACTATAAATACGGAAAAAGGCTAGACAAACAAGAAACGAAACCAAAAAAAACTTACGTTTGTGTCCTTATAATATAAACGATGACGTTAAACGGGCGTTGAAACGATTCTCCACTTCGATCGAGCACATGTATTTTTTAAATCGCAGCGCCTCTCGGGATCTAGCTAATGAGTGCGTGACATC